TTGACTTTTTGTCCCACCGCTTTAGGGGCTGCATCTGCACCTTGATCCTTGAAGGGTGGTGGCGTTCCTACGGATGCGGAAAACTCGGTTTCCAGCCGAGTCACACGCTAACCGTGAATTTTTTTGTGTCTTGTTCCTCTAAAGCACTGGCTAGTGAAGTGTATCGACCTGATTAGAACAGCATGCTATGCTGGATAATCTTAGCACCATGCTGAATACCCGTCGCACTCTACACGCCATGCTAAATACCCGTCGCACTCTACACGCCATGCTAAATACCCGTCGCACTCTACACGCCATGCTAAATACCCGTCGCACTCTACACGCCATGCTGCTGCAGTGGTGAGGCTGAATTTCACTCGCCAGAAGTAAGATTAGAAAAGCTTGAAGTAGAGAAAGTGGATACGTAAATATGGACAATTTCCATAAACTCTGAGGCCCAGCCCCACAAGCTTTTACCCGCCAGGCTTAGTCAAACAAAAGGAATGGTTCTGAACGATTCTTCTTCTGACATGTACATTTCACATTCCCATGTTTGGTACTATTGTAATAAAGCATGGTTGCCGCACAGTCAGCACTCTTGATTGCCTTACTGAGGTTTTTGTCTGCGAAAAGATGTTTACATTATTATTTCCTACAATGACTATGGTCTTGGATCACACTCACGTCCGTCCTCATGCAGCATGTTCAGATTATGTCCGAGTTCATGTGCCATGACGATAGCAGTGTCGGCCACTTCGTCGGTGGTTCTTTGCTGTGGCGGTGCAAAGCAAGACATGTAAACACACGGCTCAGACACAGACATACATGCACACACACGCGTGTACACACGAACACGCACGCCCCCCCCCCCCCCCCCCAACACACACAAACACACAAATAGACGCACAGCACAGGCATATAGGCGCACAGGCAGTCGTATAGATAAAGAACACAAAGGCATTGCGTCTGCTAGAGTTCTCAATGCCTGTGATGTTCAGAGTGCAGCGGTGCTTTCAAATACCAGTACCTGCCAAGAAGGAGTCTACCATCATGCTACTCAGCAGAGTCTAGGACATCGTGAAACACATGCGGTGGAAGACACTCTTCACCCCCGAAGAAAGCGAAGAAACGACAAGAAGAACTACGGCTTCAAGAGCTGCCCACCCCAGATAGCGGAACTAAGAGCATTCAGGGATGAAATGCACATCACGGTGGAAAACATTCCTTTTCGCCGTGTTTCCAACCAACTCCATGACAAAACGAGGAAGGACATTGGTTTGATCAAGGCCTGTGCAGAGATAGTGGTGCCAAAGGACAAGGCTATATGCCAATGGACAAGGCTATATGCCAATGGACAAGGCTATATACCAATGGACAAGACCCAATACATGTACAGTATACCGGTCCCGCAGTACAACAAGCTGATGCGTGAAGACGTAAGGAAGAAATTCAGGCTCGCTTCCGACAACACGTATCCCGGACATTAACGCTCAAGCCAGAGCAATTACCGTTGACCTCCAACTTGAAGACCTCATGGAATGTCTTGCCAAGGTTCAAGCATTCCTAACGCTAAAAGACCATAAGGATGGCTTTGCTCAGAGCCTGCAATGTAGGCTAATCAACCCAGCAAAGTCGGAAGTGGACATCGTCAGCAAAGCCATACTTCCAAGTTCTAGCTGGTATCATCTGCCCTATTAGCAATAACGTCTGCAAAAACGTGTGGAAACATTGCAGCAGTAATCACTAGGCTGTAGGCTATTGAGTACATGCCAATTTGCACATCCATAGCGTTAGACACTGTCGACTTTTATCCGTCCACTACGAAAGAGCTCACAATGTTTTTTTATTGGGAACCAAGGAGTAAAACAGGAAAAAGGGGACTAACAGCGGAGGCTGCCTAGTTCCATATAATTATATCAATGCATGTCATTCTAAGCAGGGAACTACTGTCGTGGACATGGAAATCCAGTCGCGCGTGTAGCGTCCTCAGGGCGCTGGCCATGCAGCCATGGGTAAGCAGTACACACATGCATGACATTGCGCTGCAGCGCGCTGGTCGCATGGGATCAACATTACTGTACACTGCATGCAACGACACCGTTCTGTATCCTCTGATCAGCTGAGGGCTCCGACCCCGGTCAATCGACTGGATTTCCATGTCCACAACAGTAGGGTGTGTACCAGTAACGGGATCTGTGCTCACCTGTACAACCGATGCTCCTTCAGGCATGCAGATTTCACCAATCGCAGCGATGCCAATTGTATCACCAGAAAGGTTAATCCCGCTGATTGAACAACAAAAACAGCAAGAAGAACCAAATCAGCATCAGTATCATGAAATCAATACTCTTCGCATCGACACAATCTGATCACTGACCCTTTCAAACCAGATCAAGGACGAATTACACCGTAAACTTGATTCTTATTTCTCCGGAAGTCAGTCTTGGACCATCATGTCGACGTATTTATCGATGTCAAACCCAGCTGAAATATAGATGAAACCTGGTTGAAAATTTGACTTTGCTATGGTGCCATTTGGATGGAGTAAACTTCAAAACATAATCATACAAGCAATCTGTACATTTTTCCCTGAAAAACAATTTTGAAACAGGTCATCAATCATAGGCCCATATACGGACAAAGACAAGATGACCATCTTTCTTGGTTTGGATAGTGTATTTCGGAACGAGTTGTCGGAGGAGCGTGGCCAGACCTCTGCTAATGACAGATTTTTGTGCTCAACCATCATTTACAAAACACTCTGTCAAACACATTAGAAGATAGATTTCACCACTCTTGAAACAACACACAGAATATCCCGGCAAAGCAAAAAAGGACGGTAAGCTTACGTCAAGAACTGAGCGGCATCGTATGAAACAGAAATATTCTGGCTGATGGAATCGATGTAATTGGTGAAGTCCCTCAGCAGGGCATTTGGATTGGAAGTGACGTAAAACGCATCCCTCCGGTTGAACAGGATCAGGTTAACCATCACTACACGGAAGTTGATCGTGCGATAGGCCTGGACGTGAAAGCAAAGCCAGCAGCAAAACAACAGGAGAAATCGTCAGTGCGTGTACTCGTCCTACAGTGCTGCTCAACAGAAATCCGTTCGAAGCGAGTGCGTGTGACGCCGAGCGCTGTGCAGCCCTAGACCTGCGAACAGTGAGATGTGAACTTGCCCAGGGCACTGACTTGATTCACACGATTGGGTTTCCTTCAGCTGCACTGTAGCACACAGTAAACTTCATTGACACACCATACAGCCTGTGTACTTGTCTTAGCAAACACAATCCAGAAACCCAAGACCGGCGGAAGCAGTGTTTGATTGGTCCGGGCCATGCCACAGCTGTTCATACCTTGCGCATGACTTGGCAGGTACACATGAACCCCTCAGTGACCCCCTCAGAAGGTAGTTGGTTGGTGGCCAAAGAGTGGGTCCGGCCAACTCCTGACCAACCGGACCGGTTCTGCCGCACCTGAAAATACACTGCCGTGCCTTACTTGATCCATGTCATGACAGAGATCATGAATGCATGGTATTATGCACGCACTTAATGTATATATATGGTGGACCAGCTTCTTATGGCTATTTGCTGCGTTTTCCAAGCAGAGTCAACTATACATCCTCAGAACCCTCCACAAGCGGTCTCCGAGCCCCATTAATCATTGAACAGAAATGGCATCATGTAGCCCGGAGACCGCTTGTAGCCCTGAGACCGCTTGTAGCCCGGAGACCGCTTGTAGCCCGGAGACCGCTTGTAGAGTGTCGTGCGGCGCATGTATGGTTGCAAGGTATGGCTGCAGTGGAGTCTGCACATGTTGAGACATGCACGGTTTAATCTGTAGTATGTCAGTGGAGCTGAAAGACACCCACACGACACGCAAAATGGCATTATCACACAGCATGTGCTTTCAATGATACAGCGAGCTATATTAATGTCTGTGGTGCCAATTTTGCGCCATGACCGCTAGTTCAGCATACTTGAAGCTCATAATTGTAGCTATACTGATGAGGCCTAGATGGTCGAAACAGCTTGCTGTGTACAGCGTTGGGCACAAAAACACGTTTAGTGTTATTCGGATCTGTAGTGCGCGCCATGACGGCGAGTGAGTCAATCTTACCAAGTCCATCTGGTTGATTGCGGCTTCAATGTAGGCCACTGTCACTACATCATTGCGATAGAACATAGCATACTGAAAGCAGACGGAGATGAACAAGTAAAACATTGAGTTAAATGTTCGATGAGGGGCTAATGAGGACGGCTGACAGTTAATCAACATCATTTCAAGCACTTACAAAAACACAAGGCCGCAAATGACACTTACGAATCGATTGTCTGCCACGATGAACATCTCCACCACTCTCTGACGGCCTTCTGTGAGGATTGTCTGGCGCTTCATCTACAAGTGTGGTAACACACACCGCATGACAAATCAAACCACAACACTTAGAATCACCTACAACCATCCACCTCCAGGCCTTTGCAAATCCCCTATTGTTCGCCTATGTCTCGCCAGTCCTTTCAGATTTAGCATAGAAGATCACATTCTAGCATGGCGTACATCTACTAAGTCAGCCATTGTCTCTCTGTGCATCTCTCTGTATCAACTAATTTGCTTTTCAACTCCTTTTTTTTAAGATAGATAATAATTTATTCTGGGGGTAGATCCGATTGATTGCGGTCGTTTTTCACATCTTGACCAAATGAGCACGCATCGAGGTTTCTCTTACTCTTGCATGGGTATCGCCAAGCATAGAGGCGGCCATCTCGTCCAAGCTGCCTTGTTGCGACATCTCCGGTTGTCCATCAGCATGCTTGGCGCCTGGAGTAGAAGTATAGATAGCCACATCCACTGCTGTTGGTGTGGGGTGTACGGCGTGTGTGTGTCCATGTATTTCTACAACGTACAAACGTTGGCTTGGTGTTGTAGGAAACATGAAGCCAATGTATACACATTAATGAAAGAGAGGACGATACGTTTTCAGGCTATCCGTTGTGTCCAACACTAACAATTATAATTTTAATAATCCTTGGCTCTGCATCCGAGGCCATTGTACACATTATTTTATGAAGAGAAAAAACCAGGTCCGCCGCAATCAATCTTAGAAAGTCAAGTAAGTGCAAAAGATGAGTCACATTTTGAGATGAAAATCTAAATGTGTATCAACACAACTCACCGCATGTCCCTGGAGTTTTGGGCTTCATATCGCAGCCACGATACATGATGTGCTTTCCCCAGAGCTGAGCACAGAGCATGGTAAAATGGAATGATTATTAGAGTTGAGTGCAGAGCATGGTAAAATGGAATGATTTTAGAGCTGAGTGCAGAGCATGGTAAAAAGGAATGATTCTAGAGTTGCAGTGGCGGAGAGGTACAGGTAAGCTAGCCAGCCCCAAACAAACCGTATGCCGATATGCACGCACACGGGCACACAGACACGCAAACAGACAGCATGCCTGCATAACTGCCCATCAGCACTTACCCCCCCCCCCCCCCATCCCCACCCACACATGCGCCCACAAATCGATGTCACCTCTACTCCAAGCGCACTGCAGTCGTCGCCAAAGAAATCCAACCCACAAGTCCAAAGTAGCACCAGGTTTTCCAATAATATCCATGTTCCGATGACATATCCCAGGACTATAAGGGCAGCATGAGCCTTGGCGCTGCTTTGTGTACGTGGGTTGAATTTCTTTGGCAACGACTGTACCAATAACCTGCTGGGTATGGGCCGCTGTGTATGGGCCGCTGTGTGTGGGCCGCTGCGTATGGGCCGCTGTGTACGGGCGACCAAAGGTCTATTCTCCTCCTGTTTCATTGCGGGTGTTTTCGAAACCGTGATTATTCGACTTCGAAAAGCTAGTGGGACAACAGAAGCTTATCAGACTTATAATTATCGTAATCATTTGTTCAGTACCTTCATCTGCATGGGTGCGATAGTGTACGTCTCGTTGCCATCCCAGAACTTCGCGCTGAGTAGTGGGCAAAGCAGGAAAGGGCCAGACAAACATCGTGTGAAAATAGTACACACCATGGATGATAATTATTATGAATAGTAACAATCACTGATGCATATGATGTGCACTAACCAAACAGCGACACCCAGTCAACATAATTTTTTTCTTATAAAGACGTTGCTGCTTCGAACGTTGGAGCTCGCCCTTCCTGCTTCCTAGCGGCTGACAACTATTACTTGACTGACTGACAACCGTCTGGATCACAAGCGTTTGCAACCTGCGACAGGATAAACCTTCAAGAAAGCTCCACTAGTCGCTCAAAGTGTTTCGGGTAATTAAAATTTAAAATTATTTACTCTTCATCAACTTCTCTACATAAGTGGGCTCCTGAAACTTACTTGGTGCTCTAAGTCTGATCCGAGAACTAGGCATACGGTTTCCGTGCTCTCCAAAGGCAAAAACCTCGCTCGGGATACCCGGTTTTTGTGCAGCTCCGCTTCAAGCGTGACCAACATGTAGATCTACAGACAGTAGTAACACCTCGGATCGTGAGCGCCAGGCGTGCATGCAGTGCAGTGTGAGTCAGGGTCACCAAGGTCACACATGGAGGTGTGAATGGACCCAGCCCCTAGCCTAGGCTAGTACTCCCTCGCGCCTTGACTCGCGTTGATCGATCTGATTGGAACTGCGTAGATGTAGATCTACAAAGCTTCTTGAGCGACCCTGACTCACACTCCTGTCGCATGATGTGGAGGGCATGGTGTCGGGTGCTCATAACTAATATACTTAGGTGTTTGTCGCGCTGGAAACAGAGCGTCTCTGTAAGTCGTTGTCCGTGGTGCTGTCTTTGTTGGGCCATGGGGAGCACTACACTAGGAGTGTCATGATGTAGCTCTCGTAGCTTTCGGATCGGAGCACTACAGTCTACACTTGTGACTAGCTCTCGGATCGGAGCACTACGCTGGCTCTCGGATCGGAGCCCATTAGCTTGCTCGAGCTCGACGCCTAAAAGCAGTGTTGCCAGAAAGATGGCGCCTAGAAAGTATAAAGTAAAGGGTATGATTGTATGTAATTTGTCAGTCGCCCCAGTACTTTGTATTCCAGCACCCTCTACTACAAATTAGCACACAGTTTTCAGCAGCAAAAATGTCCTACTAGAACATACTCGCTGCCTGTGTGGACCCTGGCTAGCACCAGACGTAGCGTCGATCGTTACTGAAGTAACGTCTTTTGCATAGCTACGGGAATAAATCAGATTTGGGTACAACCTTCACCCGGTAGGTCTACCCCCTCATAAACTTACATAAGTCCGTGGCAAGTGCTGGCAACTACCCAGCTCTCCGGATGACCGTGACGTATTCGTCCATGATAGTGACAGTCTGCAGCAACTCGCTGGTAAGTGTTCAGCAAACAGAAAAACACACATACCGACGCATGGCATAATAGTAATCATGGTAATACACACTCACCAACTGCACACGTTTACAATGCAGTTCCTCGGAGCTTCGTGGCCAAAAGGCCCATCAACAGTCAACGACATGCAACTCTGCTTGGGGCAAAAGTACCAGTAAGCCTGAGTACGGTGCATGTACAGTCAAACATGACAGTGAAACAGTGGACAGAAAGGCTCTGTGGTTGTAGCTCAGAGTTTCATGCCCAACCCTGCAATTTCTGTTTGATTGGAACCGCCTCTTGTACGGGCAAAACTCAAAACAATCCCCAACCCTGCAATCGTCAGACAACATGATGATGGTGGGTATGGCGGAATTTTTTGGTTTTGGTTGAAAATGTACTTTACATCGCAAACCAAACGGGCGTTCATGATGCCCAATATTATGAGCTCTCTCGTTATGCTATTCAGTATTTATGTGGGGACTGGGTGCGGATTTTGTCAAGAGTTGCCAGTCATGTTAGGGTTCTATGAATGTCCCAGCAGTGATATGGATATACAGGGGCTGCATATGGGGTCTAAGTGCTAAGTTGTAGGGTGTGTGTGGAACTGTGGGTGAGTATGCTATGACAGTAGACGTAGTTACTATTAACTTGCTAAGTTCGGTGGCATCGTGATATTTTAGGAGGAATTTGTTTTCGTGTCGTCACGTTGAGATAAGTGTTGATCGCTTGTCGAGGCAGGATGGGGAGCCTAGGCTGGTGAGGATGTCATATTGCTCAGTCATGAATAGTGTGCATGGCTTGTTTTTTAGACAGTCTCCTCGTACATTGGTATTCGCTTAGTTTTATCATTTGACTAATAGTGTACAGAGTGTTGTGAGTCACCCGTAGCTGCATGCTGGATACTAGCTGAAACATCGCACAAATATGGCTCAATAATCATTTACAAAATGTTTGAATGCTTCCAATGATAGCGATCGGCTTCACACTGCACCCTGTGATCGTTTTAATACATGTATGCGCACTTTACTCACCTTTTTGGGTATGAGACCCACATCGTCGTCAGAAGCATCCATGTGGTCAGCACCGTCGTCATCATCGCCCTGATGAAAGTAGGACTCCACCCTCGCACTTATCCTGTACAGGAGTGTATTGGCAGAGAGTACACGGCAAATGCATGTACATGAACCAGCTTAGTATTCAGTAAAACCTGTAACTAAAGACCACGTGACTAGCGACCAGCCTGGTACTATAGTAAAACCTGTAACTAAAGACCACCGTGACAAGCGACCAGCCTGGTACTATAGTAAAACCTGTAACTAAAGACCACCGTGACTAGCAAGCAGCCGGGTACTACAGTAAAACCTGTAACTAAAGACCACCGTGACTAGCGACCAGCCTGGTACTACAGTAAAACCTGTAACTAAAGACCACCGTGACTAGCGAGCAGCCGGGTACTACAGTAAAACCTGTAACTGAAGACCACCGTGACTAGTGACTAGCCTGGTACTACATACCACTTCGCCAGGCACGGACAGTCTCACATTATGGTTCATTGGTTGTGTTGTGCAAACCTCTAACTAAGGACCACCTGCCACTAAAGACCACTTTCTCTGGCCCCAAGCGGTGGTCGTTAGTCACAGGTTTTACTGTACATCTACTCTGATTACACATACAGAGTCTCAAGCAAGAGGTGTGATCTCTGCCTCACGGAGAAGCTTTTCATCGCCCGTGCAGACCAAGCCAGATGCCTCAACAAGCGGTCCGAGCTTGTGTCGAATTGCCGCCATGAGAGGAAATATTACTTGTCAAATATTGTCACCTGATCCTTGCAGAATACCGCCTAGTTAATAATAAGTATACACAGAAATGTAGAAGAGAAAAGGACATATGGATACGAGTTAAGAGTAACTCTCCATCACTGTAACATGATACTTTATACAGTCAGAAAGTGCAATAACTAGGCACAAAACTGACAGAGTACTGAGACATTCGACATTCTGACACCTAGCTTCAACACATCTCCGTAGCGCTAACCGACAGCCTTCCAAATTCCATCAGCCTTCCAACTTGGAAGGTTATGGAAAGACCAAAGAGGTCTTTGGTCTTTCCATAACCTTGAACCTTCCAAGTTGGAAGGCTGTCGGTTAGCGCTACGGAGATGTGTTGAAGCTAGGTGTCAGAACGTCGAATGTCTCAGTACTCTGTCAGTTTTGAGCCTAGTTATTGCACTTTCTGACTGTATATAGTATCATGTTACAGTGATGGAGAGTTACTCTTAACTCGTATCCATATGTCCTTTTCTCTTCTACATTTATTTATGGCTCAACATCCGAGTTTCAAATATCCACAGAAAATAACACTTTCTCTCTGCAGCTAAAGTTAGGCCAAATAACACATCTTGTCAAGCTTTGCCACCTAATTCCACGAGAATATCACTAACAATAACAATACATAGATAACTAACACATTCTCACATACTCTATGTCACGCTACATACATGTACATGTATCATAATAATTATTATGGTGATTGTTATGCTGGGCTTGCCATATCCATGCTACATGTATAAAGAGATACAGAGCCTGTAGTGTTGTTTACTGCGGTCCAGAGCACGGGTTTTGGATCCGTGCCATTGTGACGTGACGTATGTTAGGATACCACGGATACTAATCACACTTTCCTATGGAGTACATATGTATCAGGGTGCCACTGTGCATGCATTATGTTTTTCAAAACAATGAATAAGATACTGTAAAGCCATTATTCTAACGAGGCGCATATATAACGATTTCCCATAATTGACTAGTTTACGTGTACCAAAGGTAACGATTCTCACTCATTCTCAATGCTCAATAGGACAGTATATGTATCTATTTCTGTATAACGATTTCTATTTTAACGAAAGATTTCTCCTCGTTAATTCGTTAGAGTTAGCACTTCGTTATAATTATGGCTTTTACAGTAATCTGCAGATTGAGTGGTAAGATTCGTCACGAGTCACGACGTGTTCATACGTTCACACACACAGGCAGGTACTGGAGCTGTATTCGATAGCGCTCAAAACACACTGTGCAGAGCTAGTAGTAACACACAGTGTACACAAGCCAACATGTTAGTGAATGGAGCAAGTTGTTGTATGGTGCTTGATCGACGTTTGGCGTGAAATTCGGAGTATCAAAATTAAGTACTAACCCGTTCCATTCTGTTCCAATGATAGGAAGTTACACATTCGGGTTGGTTCAAGAGCATTTTATATTCAGAGAAGTGTAGCATAGAAAACTGACTCGACTGTAAGGTGATATTGAACCGTTCATGTTCACTCACGGGTTGTTCAGCAGGTCCAGAATCCATTCTTCACCGAATGCAGCTACTCGCAAGCTTAGTGTCCCGGTATAGCCGTCCTGAACAGTACGAGAGAGGGTGTTTGTACGGGGGAAACAGAGTGAAGGTAGTGAAGAAAGGTGCATGTACATCATGCAAATTAAATAAAACAAAAGTATGAAAATAAGACACCCCTTTAAATTGCCAAGGGTCATGCCTGTGTAGAAGCATAAGTCCCCGGTTCAGTATACTTCTACTTATGAACGAATCTGGGCGTTGAGTAGTTGGTGATGGAAACTGGAGCAGACACATACCGGTAAAGATATACAAATAACAAGCAAATAAGGTGTTTCCACATACACGATGTCTCCCATTATCTGGAGCGAAACGGAACCCCTACAGAGATCCACAGTAATTGCTGTGATTTGGTCATAATGACCATACATGGTAGCACCGAACTTGAAACGCTGATTGCCATGCAACGAAGTAAGTGACCCCTCAAGTACAAGTACTCTACCCCAATCATGTACCGTACTCCACTCTCATACATAGCCACACTATGCATAGTAGAGGCAAATTGACATTTCGAATGGACCCTATATCTACATTGTACCTACACTACACTATACATTCACAAAGCTGTAAACACGCAACAACAATGCCGAAACGCAGAGATAGTCAGACACACCCTTGTACTCTCCCGCACATCCACCTTCCCAATGTCCTTAGACATTTCCACCCTAACCTTTGTCATCACAAAGCTCCCCTTCCAACTCGCTTATACCCATCGCTCCCTCCTGACGCCCACCCAAACAATTATAATGCACATACAGATATACATAAACATACGCACACGCACACGTGCACACACACACACACACACACACACATACACACACACACACACACACACACACACTTCCTAGTCTGCCCATCGGGGGGGGGGGGGGGCAGATTAGGTACCTTACCCGAATGTGATCATCTTGCAGTGTTATGGCTTCCACTGGTACAATGCTAGCTGATTCATGATGTGTTGCCATCTCTCTGGGATCTGCTCACACACATAACACAACCACACACACACACACACACACATGATGATGACGTCATATCAGCGACATATCCAGCAATTGAACATGGTCACTAACTACACGCACTTGGCATATTCATCTACGTTACAATTTGCTGGGGTCGGGTAGGGAGGGGCAAGGACTCCAACATTGCTCTATTCAAGAATCCTACCAGCAAATTTGAACATTTTCAATAAAGTGACCGACTACTTCAATTGGTCTTGCAGTGCCATTCTGCATTACGCTTGTGTTGATTGAGCACCCAGCACGGCTCTTGAAGCTAGTGTAAATAGAACTACGGACTGCCTTCAGGTGATGTCAATTAGACTTGAAGTACGTGCGTTATCTTGTGTTAGTGAACATTGATTATCAAGACATTTGAAAAAGTACCAACACAGGCATCCCCGCTTATCCACGCAACACCCGGCATGCCCATCCCCGCTTATCCACGCAACACCCAGCATGCCCATCCCCGCTTATCCACGCAACAGCCAGCATGCCCATCCCCGCTTATCCACGCAACACCCAGCATGCCCATCCCCGCTTATCCACGCAACACCCAGCATGCCCATCCCCGCTTATCCACGCAACACCCAGCATGCCCATCCCCGCTTATCCACGCAACAGCCAGCATGCCCATCCCCGCTTATCCACGCAACACCCAGCATGCCCATCCCCGCTTATCCACGCAACACCCAGCATGCCCATCCCCGCTTATCCACGCAACACCCAGCATGCCCATCCCCGCTTATCCACGCAACACCCAGCATGCCCATCCCCGCTTATCCACGCAACACCCAGCATGCCCATCCCCGCTTATCCACGCAACAGCCAGCATGCCCATCCCCGCTTATCCACGCAACAGCCAGCATGCCCATCCCCGCTTATCCACGCAACAGCCAGCATGCCCATCCCCGCTTATCCACGCAACACCCAGCATGCCCATCCCCGCTTATCCACGCAACACCCAGCATGCCCATCCCCGCTTATCCACGCAACACCCAGCATGCCGCGCAGTGCTATCTACCCCAGTCTTTCCCGTCACAACACTGCGGCCCTATCAGCACTTGCCTTGCCCTTTCATTGGTGGACCGTGCACGGTTCCGCATTCCATTGCCGTGAAGCAGTTTATGCTTAATTACTACTACTTCCATATCATGATTCTCTTCACCATGAGGCTTATCCTTATAGCCAACCCTTTTGTACATAAGCAATTCACCGCAAACATGTCGAAAATAATAATACGAGTAAATTATTATAGTTATGAACAAAAATACGTTGATTATCGAGCTGCAGAGAGTGCTCAATGCTAGAGATAAAGCTTAGTAGTCAGCTGTCTGGTGGCATGAAACTCAGAGTTACAACCAACCTGAACGTCCTTCGCTGAGTCTGCTATGTTATGAACGAACCTTAACTCGCGTTCATGGTAAACAACAAAGTAGCAAAGTTTTCGTTCCAGAACGTGTTCTTGTACCATTTGTCAATGGAAGCTCGTGAGCGAAAGAAAGTACAGGTACAGTCATGATGAACAAAAGGATTTATACATTTTAGGTGAAGGTTAAGGCCCCTTGAACACTACGTAGAAAACCGCATATTTTTGGCATTTGGATGATGGGGATAAGGCCAAGACGTGTGTAGATGAGATCATGTGTGTGAGAGAGGAATGGCTGGCGGGCAACGCAGCGAATACATCGCTTGTCGAGGACCAAAAGCTGATGCCGGTGGTGCGCAGAGCAAACCCTATCTCCTTTCCCTCTCTGACAGCATCTTTCTTTTTTTTTCCCTTTTAGCTTGCCGTGGTTGGCTATCACCTGACCTCTCATGTTTATTGGCAGTCTTCGGACGGGCCAGGAGATGTTGAATAAATAAATAAATAAATAAAACCGAGAAGAAGGCATTGGATTCATATAACATGTCAGCTAGCATTAGCGATCTGTGAAATAACAGTGATTGTTGCTGAGTTAAATGGGAGGGAATGGTTCCGCAGCCTCGCAGCGCCGTCCATTTCTGGAAAGTGTTCTGTGTGATAGTCGCAACTTGAGTCTCCCGCCGAAACTGGGAGTCGAGATGCAGACCTAGATATCGAGAAGTTGTTGTCCGAGCTAGGGGATTTCCATTGCATTCTATGTTACAAGTAAGTGATAGTGGCTGGTTGCGGGACGCATGTAGGGCCAGAGCGTAGGGACCGGCGGATTCTGCTCGAAAAGGTGGCAGATTCTGCTCGAAAAGCAGTGAAATTGGCAGAACCACACAAACCTTATGGCGGGAAATTCCTCGAATTCTGCTCCATTTGTTTATCCACATACCAAACATGCATGACACTTACCAGAAAAAGTACCGAATTCTGCCAATTTTTCTGGCGGCAGAATCCGCCGGACCCTACCAGAGCCTCTTTCTTCCAGAAAATTAGCCTGGTTGGAGACTGAGAGGGAGAGGGTTAAAATCGAGAATGCAAGAAAGCCTGTACATGGTGGAGGAGGTTGAACAGTTAGTCGTAAGAACAAAAGAAATACTAATTATAGCAATCAAGGTAGGGTAAGCAGGATACAACGACAGCACTAAAAATATCATGTGTGATTTCTCGCAAAGGTGGCCAGACAACAAGCGTATGAGAACTTTAGTGGTAACTTAGAGTTTTACGTTAGGACCACCCATATCACAGACGAGACCATTAAAATTGCTATCTGTCAAAATAATTTCCTACACATTGAGAGTTGTCATATCAGGATTGTCTTAACGTGGAACTCTGAGTTGCGACAAACTGTTCATTTTCATCTGGGTTTATTGAACTGTTTACTCTTTCTTTATTCGCATAGAGCATTCTGTGCGTGCGTGTCTGCGTGACAGGATTCACTTCGCAGTATACTAGTATTACCCATGACAAAAACCCGTCTATGCTCCGTCCTTATCCTTCATGCTGACATCTGGCGGGATTGGACGGTAGATAGAGGAGGGTGTGGTGGTTGAGGTGTGTGCATAAAGCAGTCGTCAGCCACAAAAACACATCCATGATTATCTTTGGCCGAGATTACGTAGAAATGACGTCATTGCATCCTGATTAGGTACAATGATGTCTCTTCAGGCGATAGATAAGTCTGATGAGAAAATCAGATGTTTCTAAAAACCTTCAAAAATTGAGAGTATTTTGATTGCCGTGTTCCCGTTGTTCCCATATGGGAACATAGAATTTCAAAGGCATATAACTCCGGTATGAATGGCCACTTTCTACAGTATTTGACAGGCACAACCCCACATAATAGCCAAAACATAATGGTATTGGAAAAATGAGGATATGTGGTCATACAACTAGGTATATGACGTTACTTCTAACATACATTGCTTCCGATATACGCTAAATTGGCTCAGTATTGAGAGTCCACTGCACATAGGAGACTAATTCCAAACTCAATATTGTTCTGGGTTCATATACATGTATGACCAATGAATCATAAAAACCGAAAAGGATCTCTCTGACAACTTATTTTGGCCACTAAAATCCACTTCCTAGATCTTGTTCCCTTATGGGAACAATGGGAGGATAAAGGTTAAGATTACTGTTTGGAGGGTGCTACTCTCTTTAGACATTGAGTTTGGGCCGTAAGGGTTATTGTTAGCAGGTGCCACAATGGAGCACAACACTCCAGTTTAGAAGATTATGACGAGGACATTGCGCAAAGGAGGGAGTTTTGCACAATTATTATTTGTGCAGGCTAGATGGCATTTACGCTGGCACACACGTAGGAGCAACCGACGTCTCTTACAAATACCGCCGAAGTCGCTAAATCTAGGTTTGATGTCATTTAGTTATTAAAATTGGTGTTGATCGCATGTGTGATGATCAGAATAGCTCCGTGATGTAGGTCATTGTGGGATAATAACCAGGAGCAGGTACCACGGACATTAGCCCGTAGATACAGTCAATTGCACTAAACGGTCCCATCGGAAGTGAGACTTACTCAGCCATGGGCTATAACTACACGTGTCATGTAGTCTACATGTGCATGTAGGTGCAGACGACTCTTTTAAAACGACCTAGAACAGCTCGCTGAATCCAAGCATGATGTTCCTCACTCTCGCATACCTGAACAGGTACATTCATGCATTGCTGCTTCTGAGATAGAATTTAAATTAATCCGATATTGGCTGTTCAAGCGTTATCAGTTGCCTGATGACTGCATGAAACTAATACCATAATGTACCGCGAGGTCACCCCCGCCATCTCGTCCTTTCCGTGTAGTGGTTGTCTTGTGGATTTGTTACATGTAGTTACAACGAAGATGCGTAGTTCTCGGTGTCTTCTGTGTACTTGTAACAACCTAGAATATAACGAATTTCGTGCCATGGTGAACTATTAAACGTTCTTTTCCAAGGCCTTGCAGAGATCTACATGTATACAAAAACTGACCGTCTGCAGCGAGCTGTTTTCGTTTTGAAAAGAACCACAAAATGTGTGTGTACAGTACTGTACATGTATGTGTATGTGTGGGTGGGGGGGGGGGGGGGGATTTTGACCAAGCGCAGGGATGAAATCATTGGCCACATGATAGGCATGACATGACAGGTGGGTTGATATACGAGTGCCCGGATTTTCTGAAATAATGAATGAACTACCCTGTACATTAGACAATTTTGTTGCCACATGTATAATCTGCAGCTTCCTCACGAAAACCTTTTCGGGTGACACAAGAGCACTTTCTCAAAATTTAATAGCAATGTGGATCATATCCTGAAAATTCACTTGGAATGACGACTTCTGCATACAGTGTGTACCATATGCTATGACCGTTCTCATCTCGATTTATTTCGATTTCCATTCTTGAATTTGACTCCTCAGTTTTACTTTGCAATTATTATCGTATTCACACTGTTGTCTCATTTTTTAATTTCTATTTCTTCGGTCTCTCTCTGTCTCTGTACGTCTCTCTGTTTCTGTCTGTCTGTCTGTCTCTCTGCCATGGCGACTTGACCAGAAAAGAGAAGGGAAAAGGCAACTTTGAGTTACCAGGAAATCAATGTAATTTGGCTGTGTTGCTACCTGCATATCACACATACACCAAAGGGTATCTGCAGCAGCTTCAGAGAGATCGATTTAAAATCCACTGCGAGATGACGTAACCGAGGGCTTTGTTTTCTAGCCCATACTTGCCGATGTCTTGGGAGGCCAAGACAACGCAAAAAGAAGTCGTTGTCGATTTGCTAGTCGTGCAGCGAACAGCAAAAGAAAGTGCATCTTTAGAAGTTTTCCACACAATTCATGTACACGTATATATATAATATATATATATGGCGGACCATTGATGGTTGACGTTGATTTCTGCTATATAGGCACCTACTTTTCTTCGTTTCTTCGAGTTCTAGCAAGCGGTGTCTGGATTGCTCGAGCAGACCCAGTCGGCACTCTTGCCGGCGACCGGCTGCGAGAGATCTACCGAACAAAGCAGTACGGAAAGGTGTCCCATTTATCATAATGAGCGGCTTGGGATAGTTCAATTACAAAGACGGAAAGGATGTTCGCTCTCTCATTACCTTCGCCTTTCACCTTGCGCCATTGTCAGCGCCAAGGTAAACCCTACGTGAAATCTCAGAATTATTATTAGCGTTCGGGTCGTTTTTGGGTACGTACCTTTGCCCATGTGGATAGTAAAATCCATGTCACTGTCATTATCACCAGCACCACCAGCACCACCAGCACCACCAGCACCACCAGCAGCACCAGCAGCAGCATCAGTGTCATACTGTATATCACGTTTCTCCTCGTGCTCATGGCTGAACACGACGTTCTGCAGTACGTCCTCATCCATACCATGGCAGGGCAACAAGATAGAGTTGGTTGCTAAAGCCACCAACAGACCTGTGGCGAACATCCGCCGGAAACGAGACATCTTTCTATGTTCGTCCTGGGAGATTCTGAATATGGATCGCCACCTTCTCACCCTCCCGGATGGTGATTCGACTGGCCTACAGCGCTGTTATAAACGTGGAGACTTCCAGTAATCCATGCGCAGTGGGCAATGACTCAGAAACACCCAGCAGAGAGAGAGAGAGATCCGGATCCGGCGGAACTGTGCCAGACGCGGACTGCACTGTCGGTAGATGTCCGTCAGCAAATCTGCTTAGGCGTTACCTGCACGCACGCATTGTTATCTACCGGTACTGTTCATGCCGGCATACTAGAAAATCATTATGTGCGCAAACACAGATGCATAGACCCTGTCTGATGTCGTGATCGCGTCAAAGTGAAACTCAGGCATCGCAATGCAGATTTGTCCCAGCTACTCCCGTGTATGTATAAGACTCTGGACTGGGGTGTATCAGACCAACCTCTCGAGCTACCATAACTAGCTCTGAGAATGCACACTTCCAGGGAGCCAGAGTGCCAGACTCCAGGACGATGGACATGGTCCTATGACGTCATGGCGATGAGTTTTGCATGCGCACGCTCCTGAAGACGGTTGTCGGGTTGACTTGAAATGTTGTGATTTCAGGGTGCTTGAGGTGTGCCTGGAGTGGTGAGCCCCGACATCTTCCCAGTGTGTTCCCCAAAATATTATTGTGGCCGAACCAGTCACATTAATATGTACTGTACAATGTCATGTAGTTGTGATCCTGAAAGGGTCCTTACTGGTCCCTGCTGCAGTAGGACTTTCAGGCTAAGTGGTCTTCGCACTAGCGACCAAGTGGTGATGACCATGCAGTAACGCAATAGCGCTCGCGATTTCGGCGTACTAGTAACGAGATGCCATGTTTTTTCCCCTTTTGAAGTGAGTTTATTGATTGTGTTCGTTGACAATAATTTATTTTTATTTATTTTATTCTATGAAGTTTTGATTTGAAGTTCTTTTTGGTTTGGGTTCGAAAATTCTTGTTTTACACATGAATTTTCCAGATTTCTTCTCGAGTATACACGTACATTGTATGTTGTATTGCAGGTGCCATGCAACAGTATTGGTATTTCGGGCAGGGCCACGTATACCATCTCTTACTCTTAGCAGAAGTACCCACACGCTGTCTTTAGTGGCCAGGCATACTCTCTTCACCTCGCACCAAGAATTTAAGTTCCTACTTAAAAAAAGTGACAGCATCGCGTCATGCTGCGTCATAGCGAATTTGGCAATACGTTTAATAAGGCAGTTGGTTGCTTCCCAGAGGGTGAAGGACAGAGAAAGAGAAAAGGGAGACAGTGAAAGTGATTGGAGAAAGGGAGAGTGATAGAGAGAGATAGATATGTAGACAGAATGGAGAGAGAAAAAGGTAGTGAGAAATAGAGAGGGAGATAGATATTACCTTGTACGAGATAGAAGTAGCGATTTGGGAGATTTTTGTTTTAGGAAAGGAGTTCGCTCCCCACATTGGAGCTCACGCGTTTCCAGAGATACATGTAGATAATTTGAACAATGATGATGAAGACAGTTCACCCGTAGCACTTGAGTGAGATGGCCCATGGAGGGAACAAGAGAGGGGTGAGATTTAGAAGAGAAAGTGAGAGAGGGACAGTGAGAGAGAGAGAGAAAAGGAAAATTGCTGCTCTCTTGTTGAATAGGAACCATAGCACGATCGGTTCCCTTATTTGACAGTCCAGATTACACCAACCACTCTGAACTCCAGGGAGGTCAAGACAGTTTGAAACTATTTTGGTGGATTGCCTTTCTCTAAAGTCATACAAGGCCGGAAGGGCATTGAAAAATCTGATAATAATTGTGCACTCAAACTGAGAGGAAAGAAAGGCCAAGCACCAGCATTCGACTGTACAGATTAACATCAACCATCATACCACAACTGCGCTCTCCAGCCGACTTCGACACTTTGCCACAGTACGGCAACAGCAAAGCAACATATCCGTTGGTACGGAGTTCCTCCATAGTTCATATATGTAGCTCTTTCGAGTTTGAAACTCTTTTATGGAAGTTAAGTCCTGTGGAAGGGCTAAGATAGACTTCAATACCAACATTATAAAGAAGCCTCTCGTACGGGGAAATAAAACAATGATTGAATGAATGCAATGTTCACAGGTATAATGACCAACTCGTACCAACGGATGTGTCGCTTTTCTGATGGTGTGCTGTGGCAAAGTGTCGAGGTTGGCTGGAGAGTGCAGCTATTGCGTAGTGGTTGATGACAAACTGAAAGAGACTAGGATGAATTACACCTGTTTTTCGTGATTCCGAGTGTACAGTACATGTACAGAAAGTCAACAGACAGCAAATGTGAGGATCCATACCGTGCGGTAAGATGCTGTTCGCGAAGTCCAGAGCTAAAACTGCACCGGTATTTTATGAGTGACTTGTGTCACTGACGAACTCACCAGCCTGATTTGTGATTCTTTTACAACAGGGCTCCATGTACATATACCATTCACCGCTTGCCATTCAGCCAAACTCAAAGACTTTCAATTCAATTCTGAAGGGCCAAACTCAAAGACTTTCAATTCAATTCTGAAGGGCCAAAGCGACTAGTAATGACTGATTTGATGGTACACTTGGATTTGGGTGGACGACTTGGGACAGGAACAAGTGGGGGCTAGTCAAGAAATACCTTTTCAAGTACGGAATGTAAGTAGCGCAGACACAGGGTTTTGTGCGTGTGAGGCAAGGATAGCATTCTGAATACATGTAGGTCGCCAGAATGTGCACAGTTTACGAGTGAGGAGAAGCACTAGCAGTAGCAATTCATTGCGGGGATGTTACGTACAAGTACAGTGGTGGCAACTGAAATCCGACCCCCCTGAGCGGCTCGCTCACATCGCAAAGAATGTGAACCCACCGCTCAGGTGTCGGATTTCAGTTTCCAGCACTGTAGTACATACTGACTGCATACAGTGGCACTTAGCATCGGGTTGCTCGGTCAGGACTTGTGGACGGTAGCACAGACAGTCTGTGTATCTTGCATACAGCATGAGGTCGGTCAGTCAGGACTGTTGCAATAATTATACATGATATACGGCTGGGTTCAGTCATCGAGTCCAGAATGGGTCTCTCCATACGCTGTCGCTAGCTGTGTAGATTTACCATGAACAAAACTCGAGGAAATGCAAAGGGGCCACATCAATCATCATGTTGAGTTGACGCACTTCGCTTTGGCGACGACTGCCACGAGCAACTGTATTCACACTGCGGAACGGAAAGCCGGAACTCAATTTTTAAAACTGCACATTGTCTGACAGTTTCTCGAGATATGTTCTTGGTGGTCTACTATCAACACTGAGATAAACTCGAGGAGCTGCCGCTAAAGGCGTACCTTATGTAGCCTTTTCGAATATTTCCAGGAAATACATGTAGCATAGGACCAGGGTCGGCTACAGCAGTCGAAAGATAGGTACGCTTCCTGAGCACTAAAAGCGGAGTCGATCTGCCTTTGCTGCCTTTGCTGGGTGCCGCGAGATGGAACGGGACACATACATGTACCTGAGGCTAACAGCCATGGTTGTCCTGTGTGTCGCCACGCTCCCGCAAGACAGTTACTGCCAGGACGAGCCGGAACTGAAGCTGCCCGATCCGTTCGATGCTGACAGTGGGCAGGAAGAGGAACAGCATGGAGCTTCGACCCATGACGATGATGGATTGACTACGTCAAATCTCTCTAAACATGGTGAGAAAGGACCGTTCGATGTTAGATTATGGTTTGCACTATGCAGTTGTGCGTCCTTTGTCGGAATATCTGGGCTCTAGCCAGGGAGTAGTATGGTAACCTCCCGCGACAGCGCGTCCATGTTAGGGCGGTGCACTTCAGCGCGACCGCCTTAGCGCGAGGCATTTCAGCTCGGTGCCATTTCAGCGCCGTGTCTTGACAGCGCCAATGATTTCAGCGCGAAATTTTTTTCACCGTTGTACTAAAGAACAAATGAAGTCTGAAGAAAATGTTGAACGGTCTCTGCTGGGATCACGATTACACCATCGCTCAGTGGTTAGAGCATCGCTGGCTACAAGCGAGGGTCCCTGGTTCGAGTCCTGGTGGCGACAGTCAATTTTCTCCAGACTTTTCCCGATTGTGTCTTTCCCTCAAACCAGTGAAGTCAAAAGCAAATGAATTAATAACTATGGCAATCAAGGTAGGGTAAGGAGGACACAATGACAGCGCTATGATTGATGAGTATGAAGGTGTTGTTTTTCATTTGTTTGCACTTTCTCACGTCCGGTGGCAAGGTGTTCATACAGTATGGTGTAGCCTAGATCGAAGTCACCTGTCTACTTGACTGTCCCTCCAGGAAATCGCGATTCCACGGATACAACAAATTTCGCGATTTTCGCCCAAACCCGCCATTTTTTCCGGAAAATCCGCGATTTCCCACGTTTTTTGTTGTTTTCTGCACTATATCTCACTTTTCTATGCACCTTTCACGCAGTGCTTTCCATGATCCTGTAAGTTATTTGCACAGTACGACTCGACTACTCCCAATTAGATATACGATGCAACATATTTCGTGATTTGGCCCAAATCCGCAATTTTCTGTAAATAATTCCGCGAATTCCTGGTAAGTTCTGCATCATTCCGCACTTTTCGTCGCATTTTTTGTTGTTTTCTGCCGCAATTTCTTGCGCAAGTTTTCGAGAGTTTTTTCCGCAAATTCCCGCAGGGACAGACTTGAACTACATGTCCATTTTCTCCGACTGTCAGCCAGAAATACGCTCTGCGGCCTATACGCTGGGTATTGATTTCAGTTTAGGCAGATCTTGGGTTTGACCTACTGATCATTCCTTGATTCTAACAGGTGCATTCTCCAACCTTGCTGGGACACGCAGGTGACTCGGAACTCTTAGCCTGGTCCAAGATCCCAGTGGATGTAACAAATGGGATCTGTGGTGTTTGACCACTTTGGTTGCGGGTCTGATCTATTCGCCTCACACCGATTCAGGAGTAGGCTTTCCCCAAATCGGCCAGGTGAAACATTCGCCGAAAACGAGACTGATCGAAAAATAGCTAAGCTTTTCGCCAATTTTGGAGGGTTCCTTTGAGACACGCCGGAAATCTACCGAATGTGGTTACAAAGTGCGTTTAGGAACGAATGATGTTGCTGCAAGCATGACCGCTCGTAGTACTAGTCCGTTGAGGTCATGTGACTCGTGCCCTTTGACCTTCTCTCAAACAAACATTGGCCATTAGGAAGATCGTTACTGGTAAAATACTAAACTACAGCGTACTGTTTTGGCAAGTTCCATCTAGCAGAGCTGTATTCCATTATCTCACCAATGTTGAAGCCAATATTCCAAAAATTCTTTAGTCGATTT